AGAAGGAGGCCAAAGGGCGGTTTGCAGTGCACTTTGGTTTGTGTTGTTGTCGTGGTGAGTGTTTGTGTGTCTTGGTTTTCTGAAAACCCCAGTCGGGTGGTGAGGTTGGGAATGAGGCAGGCAGGCCTGAGACCATGCTCGGCTGGCCCTAGGAGCCAGGCCAAGGCAGCCAGCCTGGTCGCAGGTGGCAGCAGGAGCAGTGGGGGAAGTCTGCCATTCAGCCCCCCAAGATTACTTTGCCCTTCAGAGAAAAAGAAAAAAGACAAGGAGCTTGCAGCCACATGGCCTCACGGGCCTAGTTCTGTGGGCAGGGACAGCCAGGGGGCTTGGGGAGCTGGGGGTGCTAGGACAGGGGCTTCTCGAACAGCAGAAGGCACCTCGGCCACAGGCTTGGGAACCCAGGCCTGTCCCCCACACCCTGGTGCCATCAGCTGCCCTGGCATCCCACCTCCTGAAGCAGAAGAACCACCCCATTCACTACGGTCTGGCCAAGGACCCTGTCCTGCCTCTTCCTCCCCTCACAGATTGCTGGGAAGGGGGTCACACTGAACATGCACCCCAGGATGCTTCACGAGACCAAATGATTCCAAGTTGTGTTGAACATCCGGGAGGGAACTCTGGTTCTTGGCAGGGGGAGCATTCACTCTGCAGTGCTTTTTGGAGGTTGGTCCTCCTACGGTGTTCACCCTTGGGTTCCCTGCACGTGCCTGCCCGATGGCCCCAGCCAGCAGACTCACACAGCGCACCGCCCCCTGGCTGGCCTGCCCAGCGCCTCCCCTAGCCTTCGCTCCCAATGTCTCCTGGCTTCTCCCTCTTAGGCGACAGACAAGGCTCCAAAGCCAGGCCTATGGCTTCTTTCCCATGGCTGCCTCCCTCTGAGAGCTGGAAGACACAGGGCCCTCATCCCTGCACTCTGCCCCGGACTCCAGGGTGGGCTTCTCAGCTGAGGCCACTGGCAGGTGGTGGTGCTGGGTAGGGGGAATCTAAGGCTACTCTCACGGATGTGTGTGTCTTTCCCCTTTGTGCCCAGAACCTTTGGCTCTCCGACTGCCACCAGAGGGGTGGCCTGGAACACTGCCAAATTGATTGTCAGTTCACAATGTGTTTGTTTCTCTTGAGAAGGGAGCCCGCTCAGTTCCTCCAGGTGGTTCGGGTGTGTGAACACTTGGTGGAGCATCAGGCAAGGTGGGTGTCACTCAGGACCCCACTTCCTGCCCGCCTCTGGGGCTGTCTTCCAGTTCTCTGTACTCACTGGAGGCAAGACTTGAAGAGGGAAAACTGAGGCACACATTGGAGCTGAGGTTGGGATCTCACCCAATCAGCACCTCTCATCAGGCTCACAGTGGGCATAAGCAGAGTTGGATGCTTCCGGATGGGCAAGGTGCTCAGACAGCCCCCTCTGTGCCAAGCCACCAGCGTGGTGGGTGTAGGATGAGAAGCTTGTGGTTGTCAATACTCAGGCCACTCGCAGGGAGCCCAGCGGGCAGAAGGCAGCTGGCAAGGATGAGGAGGATGAAGAGGAGGTGGTGGTGGCTCATTCCATTGGGGAAGAAAGGACTGTGCCCCGCTATGTCCCCCAGTCCTGTGCTGGGCCTCAATGATCCTGGCGAGGCAGGTGCTAATTGTGAGTGTGGGGATCTGGTATTTCTCTTGAGTGACCATCCCCTGATGACCGTTAAAGGGGTTTGGGGCTAGTGACAGCAAAAGACCTTCCTGTAAGGACTCTCTGGGGTGGATGGCTCGGGCCAGGGTCTGGCCGCCCTGCCTGCCATGTGGCTTCAGTGCCTTGTAGGGGCACTTGGGGGCTGGCCTTGTAGAAAGTAGAGGGTCAGCCCAGGCACTGGGTACACAATGCCCCCACTGCCTCCTCCAGGCACAAGCTGGGCACTTCAGTAACAAGGGGTAGAGGGCAGTGATAGACCTCACGGAGCCCAGGGTGCGGTGTCCCCAGGGGAAAGGGAAAGTGGCAGGACTCTGCCCCTGTGGCACCGGGATCTCCGGGCACACCGCCCTCCACATAGGATGAGGACAATGGGATTTCCCAAAGCAGGGAAAATAAAAAGCCACGGGAGGGAGGGACAACAGAGATGGGGTGGGGAACAAAAGGAATCTTTTTGTCAGTTTTTAAAAAGAAGCCAATGTAGATATTTCAGGCAACTACTTGGAACATTTCAAAAGAATCGGTAAATGCTTAAAAACCACGGAGTGAATAGTGCCCCAGGCACCGTCAGCCGGCCATGATGGACGGTGGTGCTGTCCGGTGTGTTTAGTTGCAGCCGTGGCCAGAGCAGGGTCTAAGGAACAGGCCCAGGAGGTAGCCTGGGGTGTGAGGGTACAGGGCTTTCAGCCCCTCCTCACTCCCTGAGCTCACCCTAGAGAATATGTGGCCCTGCCTCCTCCTGGGTCGGGGTGGGGGCGGTATGAGAAAGCAAAGGCAAGAACCAAGATCTTTTAGTCGAAGAGCCAGACCTTGGCTTAGGCAGGAAAGTGTCTGCCATATCCCCATCTAGTGCTTGAATGCTCCCGGCGATGGGAGGCTCACTGCCTTGCCTCCTTTGATGTGCCAGGGTTTCTCTTCCCTGTCTCTCCTTTTCCTTCACAGTTGGGTTTACCCTTTCCCTGGCACAGGGAGCAGATCCCACAATAGGTATCGTACTCTCTCAGGGACGGAGAAACTTTGAGCTTTCGGTGGTACCAGAGAGCCGCTGGTCCACCACATTGTGGCTAGGTGGTGGGACTGACCCACTGACCCGGGGGTGGCTTGTCACCCATGAAGGCAGGTGAAACCTGGAAGTCAGAGCCAGAGTCTCTGCTTGGAGGCTGGGCATGTCTGGTGACCCAAGTGGGCCACAGCAGCCCTTCCTGGCCCAGAGGCCCGGGCACCAGACCCCTGGCTGGAGCCAGCCTGGCCCCTCCACACCCAAGCTCTGGCCTGGAAAACCCCTGCTGTGTGGTTGGCCACTTGGGGCAGGTTTAGAGGCCACAAGAAACCCTCTTTGCTTCACCTCTGAGAGTTTAATCTCTCCTAATCAATTTAGCAGACTCGCTTGGTTGTAAATGGTAATGATTTGCATTTTTGAGCCTTTTTATCCCTCCTAAAGAAAAAAAATGCCTCCTCTTTCTGCATTCCGGAAGGCCTGTGAGTTGCGCTTTAGCGCTCACCCTGGCGCCCATCCAGGGCGCGCACGCGCGCAGCTTCAGCCACCTTCACCTGCACCGATTTCAGCGTGAGCAGGGGACATGGCGCACGGAACTCCTGCACGTGGCCCTTGGGGGCACAGCCTGCTACACCCCGCCTGAGCCCCCCCTTCCGCCCCAGTTCTCCCCCAGTTCTCTTACAGCCCCATCGCTCCCCGCCTGCTGCATCCAATTTTCCTTGTTGTATTTTTCATAAGCGAGAGGCTCAGAAGCCCTGTCCTCCTCCCTGGCGCACTAAGCAGGAAGCAGATTTCTGGAGCAGGTTGGCTTTGGGACTTGAGCTGCCACTTGTGGGGGGCTGGGGTGGGATGCTGTCCTGAGTGTGCCTCAGACTTTTCTTCCCTCTGGCTGGTGGTGGAGGAGGCTCAGGCAGAGGCTGGCGTGGGCTTGGTGCCCCTCAGGCCCCGCAAGGATTCCCCCACCTTCCTCAGGCCAGCTGGAGCCCTCCAGAATCAGGGGAAGGGAGGCCCCCTCAGTCTCCGAAGCAACTGAGCCCAGCCCAGGGCATTCCTGCTTTACAGAAGGAGAAACGGAGGCCTTGTATTTGCCAGACAGCCACACACGCTTTCTGGCTCCCTCTCACCCTTGTTGAAAAGATGGTGCCTGTAAGTGGGGAGGGACCTCTGAGTAGACTGGGGCTTCCTTGAAGGAAGGCTGGCCCCTCCCAGCCGCTGCCATCTTCCCCGGGGGCTGCCACACCCCTGCCAGCGTCAGCCAGAGCAGGGAAGGAGCAGTGCCCGGCTCCTGCCCTCAGCCCAGGCCCCCAGCCCTGGAGGGGTGGGGATGACGCGCTAACATGGAGGTGGGCCAGGAAGCAGCCCATTTAGTAAAGATGGAGGCTTCCTCGGGAAGGGGAAAGCAGAAGAGGGAAGAAAAGGAGCTTTTGATGCACATCATGTCTGCGGAATTGAGTATGACTAATTAATACATTTTATTCTTAGTAATCTCTTAAGCATTCCATACGTTGGGCCCCATGCCTCAGCTGAGCTTATGAGAGGCCTCATTCGCAAAATGCAAATGACACATGGCCCTGCTGCCTTCTCTCCTTCTTTGCCTTTTCTTTCTTGCTTTTTTTTTTTTAGAGGAAATTTAAAGGAAAATTGCCATGTAATAGAAAAGAGATTCCAATCGCTACATCTAATTACCACGAAGGGTAAACCACTTAACCAAAGAAGTGTCATGGGCCTCTTCTTTTTTTAACTGTAAACCTGCCTTAAATGCCACAAAGTACACTCATCAGTGCTCAGGGTGATGAGGTGGTTCTGGCTGGTTAGGGACCACGAGGGTCAGGTTGGTGGTGGACTCTGGAGTGGGAGTGTCGTCACACACAGAAGGGAGGTTTTAATAGACCCTGGGGGTGTCATTGCTGGCCTGCTGGCTCTGCACACTTCTAAGAGGTGGGGGCGGCTGGGTGCCCCGAACTTCCTCCATCTTGTATTAAGAGGCCAGCTTGGAGGAGCTGGATTAGTAGGGGATGCGGTTTCAGAGGGGACCTGGTTTGGGGGCCACCATGAAGCAGATTTTGGAGGCTTGCTCTCAGGAAGGACACTGGGAAATATCGGGGTGCCGAGGGGCAGAAAAGACAAGAAGGGGGCCGGGGATTTAGCTCAGTGGTTTTGGCACCTGCTTCGCAAGCGCAAGGACCCGAGTTCGATCTCCAGTACCGAAAAAGAAAAGAAGGGCTTTCACAAGCTGGGTGTGGTGGCGCATGCCTGTAATCCCAGCACTCGGGAGGCTGAGGCAGGAGGATCACTGTGAGTTCGAGACCAGCCTGGGCTACACATAGTGATGTTCCAGGTCAGTCTCAACTACACAGTGGGACACTGTCTCAAAAAAAAAAAAAAGAAGGGCTTTCACAGGGGCCTAGGTCTCTGGGTCTCCCTGGCTAGCAGAGTGCTCACTTTCATCAGAATTTAGAGGTCCCTGCTAGGAATACTGCCCATGAGAAACAGGCAGGGTCTGGGCTCTGCAGGCCTAACTAATCTGGGCTGAGCCCTGTTAGTGCAAGAAGCCCATGCAGGCGACCAGTCAGGTCCTCAGCCTGGGCACTGTGCCCAGGCATTTGGCAGGGCCCTTGCGGTCCTGGGCCTGCTGTGTGATAGGGGCGGAAAGTGCACCACTCAAGTCACTGTCAGGGTCCAGGCCACCAGATGCCCCTCAATTCCTTCCTAGCCACCAGAGGGATGACTTGACCCTCCCTGGGGCAGGAAATGAGAAAGGGGACCCTGGTGAGCTAGGGGGCAGAGCATGCCGGCAGTACTGTGTTGCACATGCAGGCAAGATGCCTTGAGGCAGAGGGAAGGCTGGGCTGACTTTTCTGGAACCTGAAGTAGGCCAGAGGGACGCCCTCAAGGGAGGGAGCCTCACTTCAGAAACAGCAGAGAGCTGGGACTTCCCTCCCCAGGCAGTCCTCCTGCCAGATCTCCCTGGTGTGTGGGGTCCCCTCTTCCTTTCCAAGCTGTGAGGGATGGTGCCGCAGCTAGGCTGGTGGTGGTGGGGTGACAGGCAACATTGATGCAGACCTGAAATTAAGGCTTGGGAAAGTTTCTCTCTGGACCTCATCATGTGGGAAAATGTTCCCGGCAGAAGGGGAAAAGGTCATTTGGAATGAGCAGTGTCCATGCCCCTTGGCCATGCCCTGGGGCTGGAGGGTAGGGGTCTGCTTTGGTGGTGATGATTCTTGGGCCACAGTGGGAACCCGCACCTCTCTCCACTTTTCCCAAGCAGCGAGCAGCAGCAGGAACATTGCTTTCAACCCACCTCTTTGCTGAAGGGCCAGTTGGCTCTTTGAATGTCCAACAGGCCGACAGTGCTCGGGCATGTCGCAGGCAGCCCTGTGATCACTGCCCGGCCTCTTCTTCCTGCCTTTGCTTTGGTCCAAATGGCAGAGGCTTTTTGAAAACACCACTGTCAGGAGCAGACCTTCTCATCCTCCTGCCCTTAGAGCAATGCCTCTGCTTTGATGTTGTCTTTTCCTGGTGCGGGGCAAGAGACACATTGACAGATGGTGACCCCAGCTCCCCGAGTATAGGATGCAGCAGCCGCCGGAACCCTGGGTACCACGCTTTCCTCCTCTCCAGATCTGTTGTCATTATTTCATCATCGTTTTAATCTCATGGCTCGCCACACTGCACTGTCAGTTGATAAATGATAGTGACATTGATTCCAGAGGGAGGAAATAAAATTTTAGCTCTTCTGAGGGCCCCAGTCGGAACCCTTTTGGAGGCTGGCATTTTTAGAAAGAGATCTGGTCTCTCCTCTCAGGAGCGGGCAGAGCTGTTTTCTACACTAATATGTGTGTGAGGGTTGATGTCTCTCAGGGATTTTCTGAAAATTTTCTTTTTCTGGGCTTTGTTTGAGCAGCCATGGAAACCAAAAGGTCTAATCAGCTGATACATATATGTGTATTTAAAAATGTCCCTGCACTAATTACATATCCAGGAGGAAGCACAAGTAAACCCAACTGAGGTGAGGGCCCTAAGTGTCAAAAGAAAACATTTCTCTGTGTTAGAAAGGACAACGGCCCAGCTCTGGCCAGCTGAGTGCCCTTATGGTCCCTCCCTGAGCCACCCTGCCAAGACATACAGGCCTCTGCTTCTAGTAACAGCAACACTCCCCACCCGACCAGGGCTCCTCCCTCCACCTCATTCCCACCCCTGACACATGGGCTACTTACTCAGTGATTTCTAGGAGAAAAGCAACACTTTTTTGCAATTCTATTGTCTCGGGAAATGGTAAGAACTGACCCAAGGAGCGCTATAAGGACGATGTATGCAGCTCCATCTACCCATCTGCACTGAGAGACAGGACATAGAAACAGACAGGCAGACAGACGCACCTCCACGTGGCAGGGAAAGCTACGGCTTCCATCAGGGCGTCTACGGAGGATGCATGGAACTGGAGAGTGCTCAGCATAGGAAGAAAAAAGTTCGTTTTTTTTCTTTTTAATTGACTACATTAATTGTTCCAAGAATGCAGTGAAAGACTCTTTCTGCAAATCTGTCAGGGAAATGGCATGGAAAGATCCAGGGAAGAGATTTCAGGGCAATATCTCCATAGCAAAAGATGCTTTCTTTGCTTCTCTCCTTTGTGAGGTGCCTGAAAATCTTCCATCGCATCATTGCCTGTGAGCAGCTGGCAGCAGGATGCTGGGTGGGGGCCTGTGTGTTGGTGGCTTCTCTCTGACGGTTCTTTTGTGACGGCACCGAATAGAGTGCGAGGTGTACACAGACGTTGTCCAGGTAGTATCTTTCCAGTCCAGGAAAAAAAATCCCCAACCCAACCCTTCTTTCGGTATTATTTTTGTTTTCCCTCCCCAGTTGGCATAACTTGAGATAAATTATGTCTCCAATAATTTTGGATTCCCCTTCCCCTTCCTGCCTTCTATTCGTTAAAAAAAAAAATGTTTTCCCACCCACCACTGGTGTGTTGTAGCAGATCATCAACCTTTCCCAAACTTTGCTTTACGCTGGGAAAGTCATTGTGGAATTAGTTTCTCTTCCTTGCTCTCTGGGATCATAGTGGGCTGGGCAGAGCCGGGCGCCACTTAGGACGGCGTCCAGGGGCTGGGCCAGGGCAGGCCGGCATCATGTGTAGGAGTAGTCGATGTCAGGGATGCCCCCGTCCCGATAGCCCCGTGTGGTGCCGTAGCCGATGGTGTGTGTGCCCTTGCAGAGACTGCTGCCATTGGAGGGGAAGATGGTGTGGACCACGTACTCCTCTTTGGCGCGGTATGGGTTAATGGGCAGCATCTGCAGCCCAGGGCCACGGATCTCCAGGATAGAGTTATCCTTCTTGGTCCCTGACTCCATATAGTCGTCCTTCTTCCTGCTGCCCCGGTTGTAAGCCCTCTCCTGGGTCAGCAGCTCACCAGCCCTGTGCACATACCAGCAGATGGCCCCCAGGACCAGGAAGAGGAAGACAAGAGCCACGGCGCCACCAATGATGCCTGCCAGGGGCAGCCCCACCATGGGGCCGGTGTTCTGCTCCTGGTTGAGTGTCGTGGTGGGGCCGTAGCTATCAGCCGTCTCTGCCTTGGCACACACAGGTGTCTCATCGGCCACATAGGTGTTTCCAGTCTCCATGGTGACCATGCAGATTATGTAGGTGGACTTGGGTTCCAGGGCCGTAAGCAGGTACTCTGTCTTGTCCCCCTGCACCAGGGTCTCTGTGATAGAGCCCACTGCAGGGCTGTGGCCCAGGCGTAGCCAGCTGAGCCGGAAGGAGGAGGCAGGGAGTGTTGCCTTCCATGTGATGCGGATGGAGTCCGCTGTCAGGGGCTTCACCTGGATGACCAGGGTCTTGGCGCCATCGCCCGTGGCCATGGGGTAGTCAATGTTGGAGTCAGGGAGGCGCAGCCCTGGTCTCTTGGCCTTGAGGGTGAACAGCGATCCCTGGGGTGTGGTGGCCGCGGCTTGGTTGCTGGCTGTGGTCTTGGCGGCCGCATTGGCTGCACCACCCTGTGACCCTGTCTCAAAGCACTCGTCCATCTCACTGGTGATGTCCTTGATGGCCATGCCCCGGACCTTCTCAGGGCCCTGGCACATAAGGCCCCGCACATTAACCACAGCCGCCCGTGCCTTCACCCAGTCCCGAAGCCACATGAGGTTGCAGCCGCAGAACCAGGGGTTGTTCCTAAGCAGAAGCTGTGCTAGGTTGCCCAGGTCATCGAACAGGCCGCGGGGCAGTGTGGTGAGGTTGTTGTTGGACAGGTCCAGCCGCTCCAGCTCACGCATCTTGGCCAGTGTGTTGTAGGGGATATGGCTGATGATGTTGTCTTGCAGGTACAGCTTCTGCAGGTGGGCGCTGGGCAGGTTGAGGGGTGGGGCGGCCAGAGAGTTGCGCACTAGAGAGAGCTCCGTGAGATTCTGCAGGCGGCTGAAGGTGTCGTCTGCGATGCGCTGGTTGGCCAGCAGATTGCCGTCCAGCACCAGGCGCCGCAGGCTGTGCAGGCCCTTGAAGGCGTGCAGCGGGATGGTGGAGATGCGGTTGTCGTCCAGCCGCAGCTCCTCCAGCGTGTGCGGCAGCCCCGGGGGGATGCTGCTCAGGTGGTTGCGGCTCAGGAAGAGCAGCTTGAGCTGTTTGCTGTCGGCGAAGGCGTCCTCCTCGATGCTCACGGTGGACACGGAATTGTCATCCAGGTGCAGCTTCTCCAGCAGTGGGATGCGGGCCAGTGAGTCCCTGGCGATGGTGCGCACGTTGTTGTCCTGAAGGTGCAGCTCCCGCAGGGAGCGGGGCAGGTTGATGGGGAACTCGTCCAGGTCGTTTTCATACAGGTAGATGACCTGCACATTGACCTTGGTCTTGAGGTCCTGGGGGATGCCGGCGTTGTTGATCTGATTGTTCTGCAGGTAGAGGGTGGTGGCGTCGTCGGGGATGTCTGCAGGGATGGAGGTGAGCCCCCGGTCGTTGCAATAGATGAAGCTGTTGTCGCAGCGGCACACTGAGGGGCACGTGGTGCTGTCAATGACCTCTGTCAGGAAGGCGATGAGCCCATAGCAGAGGAACAGCCAGTCCCGCAGGTCCATGGTGGCTGTGGTCATCACGACGGTGGCTGTGACAGTCGCCGTGGGTGTAGCAGTGGCAGCGGCAGTGGGGTGTACCATCACCATGGTGGACAGCTGGGGGAGCCTGACCCCACCTGATGCGGAGCCTCAACACCTGCAAGGAGCACAAGACAGGTACAGTGAGGGTGAGTCAGGGACAGCGGCCCACCAGGCTCTTCATGCCTCGAAGTTAAATGTCACCAGGAGCGAAGCCCTGCCCATCTTCCTGGGTGGGATTTGGTGCTTCGGGGAGGTGAATTTAGTGCCTGCCAGGCTGTGACTTGGGCTGTTCCTTCCAAGACTCCACCTCTAAGCTGGTCTTTATGGCTTATCCTAGAGGCGCTGGTCAATGTTGATGGGATAGATTTAGGGCGCGTCTTATGGACTCAGAGCCAGTTTCTCAATGGAACAGGGAACACACATCGCTCTCTGGCACAGGCCCAGGTCTGAAGGCAAAGCTTGCTTCTGGAAAGCCTGTGAGCTCAGCAGAGGGGCGTCGCTGGAACTTGCCAGAAGGGAACTGCCAGCGTTGTCACTGGTGAGCAGTGGAGAGAGCAGGGCTTCATTGTCTGGTGGTAAAACACCACGGCCTCTTTGTCACTCGTACATTTTACAGACAGAAGAAGGAGGTGTCACCAGAGCTGCTTTCTTGTGTGTTTACGGAAACTGCTTCATATCAGAGGTGCCCTTCCTAGCTTGATGTACCATGCTGTGTGGGAAACTATTCAGTACTCTGCTCCCCTCCCGAACCATGAAACTTCCAGCAAATGCAGAAATACATATATGTGTACATCAGCTTTGTTGCATTTAAAGAAATGAGACAAATAAAAGGAGGGAGGTGTTGTCTGTGCTCTGAGGGAATTATGTGCAAGGTGTGATTTCAGTTTTCACAAATAGAAAAATTGCAAGATAGATTTTTCTCATTATTTTAATGTTCATAATGGTAAAAAAAAATCAATTAAAATAAATTATCTTTCCTTCTCGGTAGGGAAACCAGCAAAGCTCTGCTGTAAAGGTGGGGCCACACAGGCTTCAGTGGTGGGACACAGTGGCCTCTTGGACTGAGGGGAGGCTGAAGCCTGGGAGGGCAGCCCTGGAGTGTGGAGTGGAACTGGCCCCTACTGCATGAGCCCATGGGGACCTAACGCTTAGGGCTTGGTAACTGAGCACTGCCATTTCTCAACCATGCCTAACTGCTCTCCCTCCTCTGTCCTTCTCTATTCCTGGGCTTTTTCTCTCCAGCCAGCAAACTCCTCCTCACCCTTCAGGACCTTGTTCAAATGTCCCCTCCTCTGCCAGGTCTTCCAGATGCCCCAGATAGAGCTTCCTTTGCTCTGTCCACCTACTCATCCGTGCAGCCATCTGTCCATTGGTTCATCCATGCCTCTACCCAGCCAGCCAGCTACCTATCCAACCACTATCCCATCTTCCCTCCCACCTGTCCATCCACCGTCCTTTCATCCACCCATCTACCCATCCGTGCATCTGTCTGTTCCTCCATCCATTCAATAGATCTTTATTGAGCATCCAGCGAGTACCAGCCCCTGGGATCCCATTTTAGTGGGACGGTTGTTCAAACTATAATAAAGTCTTTCTTAGAGCTTTCTGAATATGTAAGTCATTGAACTCTCCAGCCAACATGAGATTGATGCCCCTCTCATTCCATGTAACAGATGAGAAAACTACAGCTGGGCAACACCAGTTTACTGAAGGCCCCTTGAAAAGTGATAAGGAGGAAGCCAGCCTGTCTGGGGCACCAGCCAGAATCTTGGCCATCACCAGCTTGTGGTTCTCCACAGGCAGCAGGTCACACTGATGGGTGACTGGATTTTAATATTCCTGACTAAATTGCAGGTGCTTAGGGCGGGGACTGTGGCCTCCGTGGGTCTAGTGTGGTGAGGCGCTTATGACACCTGAGGACAGAGAGAACTCTCTGTCTGCTCTCAGCTCCTCTTGTTTTCCCAGGCCCAGCAGCTCCAAGGCCTCCAAATCTCTGAATTTTCTCAGGGCAACACATGGACTTCATTTAGACCCTGGTGACCTGGAGTCCATGAGAAGGTCCCAGGGCAGGTTGAGAACGAGTCCCTGCCACCCCACCTAAAACCAGGTGAGGGCTGGGAGGTACCCAGCCGCTTCACTCACTGGAGGATGAGGTGCTGCTCAAGGAGAGCAGAAGTCAGGGAGCTGGGGGAAGGAGGGTGGATGAGCTCTTCTCTGATGCTCAGGCCCCTCCTGACAGTGCTGGCCGCCTAAGAATGAGGACACCTGGCTGCCCCTTCCTACCCACAGCCCAGGCCCTGGTCATGACCCACCCACCCACCCCTGCAGGCCCAGAGCACCTTTCCTGGCTCTGGGTTCTGTGGTACACCAGAAACTGCTCCACACCTGGCCTCAGGATTTGGCTGTTGGCTTTGTTTCTTGGTGATATCTGTCTGAGCCCAGCTGGCCCCAACAGGGCTGCTTGGCTCTATCGCCTCCATCCCTGAGCCTTCTGACACATTCTCCAGCCATTCTTCCCCTCCTGGGCATCCAGAGTCACCTGGTAAAATCTTCATATCACTTCTCTGTCCAGAGACCCCCACAACCATCACGGTGGCTGTCAAGGACCCATGGGACCTGCAGCAGCACCTCAGTGGCCTTGTCTACTGTACCCTTCCCTTATGCAGTAGCCAGGCACACTCTGCTACCCCAGGGCCCTCTCGCATGCTGTTCTCTCTGCCTGAGGCTTATCTCAGAGCCACACACTTGCTGCCTCCCCACCTTCTATGAAGCCTTCCCCGACCACCCTATCCAAAACTTTGACCCCAGAACACACTGCTTCTGTCAATATAGTGTTTACCACCAACTACTGTGTTGCTTGACTTTAAAAAAAAAAATTGTCTGAAGTAAGGTGTGGTAGTGCACACATGTAATCCCAACTATTTGGGAGGCTGAGGCAGGAGGATCACAAGTTCAAGGACAGACTGAGCAACTTAGTGAAGCGCAGCGATGACAAGCGATCCCATAAAAGAAAGGCGATTTACCAGGTTTAAAATGTAATGTCTCAAAATGAAAAGTTAAAAAGGTTATAATATAGCTCATTGGTAGACTTTCCCTGGGTTTAATCCCCAGTACTGCAAAAGAAAAAAAGGCAAGCAGTATAGGTTTGGAGGTGTCTTCTCCACTGGGCCCAGCCCACCAGTTGATACATCACAGATGTCTGCTAAATATTTTAGAGAAGCTGTTATTGATCCATTTTGTAGACGAGGGAACTGAGGCACAGAGAGACGTGCTGTGGTCCCAAGGTGGGAGGTGGTGGAGTGAGGATTTGCCCCAGCCTGCCTGGGCATGACACGGGGCTGGGCCGAGGGCTCTCCCGTCCTCACAGCAGTGCTGCTGTCCTCGAGCCTCTGCCTTCTTTGCGTGAGATCCGAGCAGAGTGGAAGGAGGTTGTGGGTGTCACAGGCTGCCCAGCCCTCACCTGATCACTCACCCCTTGCCACCTCAGGAGACTGGGAGGTCAGGTTTGAAGTGAGCAGAGGGCAGCGTGCAGACACACCCCAGCCTTCAGAGGACAGGGATGAACCCGGGTGCTGGGGAGAACCTCAGTCCAGGGCCCACCCACTCGCTCTTCACAGGCGTGGTCTGTCGTATCACATAGGTCCTTGGTCCCTGAGGCTCTGAGAGGTGAGGGCCCAGGCTCCTGGCTGCACAGCTCTCCCTTCTGCGCAGAGCCAGGACCATGGAGGTCACAGAGCCTGCAGGTCCTGTCTCAAGTGGCTCAGGAAGGAGGCAGATGGAGCAGGGGAGGCCCATTCTGCTCCAAGGCCGCTGGCCTTGGTCTCTGGGGTCTGGTCTGAGCACAGAAACACCTCTGCCCGGCCCAGCGTCTGACCAGAGGACACACACACCTCTGCATCCCAGCAGGAGGGATAGTGGCCTCTGCCCTTAGCTATTCCCGGTCATGCCCTGAGCAGGGGCCAAACTTGTGAAAGCCAAACCGAGGCCAGCCACCGAACTCTGGCATGGACATCTGTTGCCAGTGCCCGCTCAGCTCACCAGCAGTCCCCAGCCTCTAGAGGCCAGCATCATAATAGAGTCTAAATTGCACCTTTCAGAGATGCTTGATGGATAACAGAGAAGTGTTTGGGAGGCAGGAACCCAAGGCCTTTCTGTTCCCGTCTGCCGGCTCATCTGTCTTGGCCGGTCCTGTCCTGCCACCCCTTCGCCAAGGCCAGCCAGAGGCTGAGCCCTCTGGCTCTGGGAACAGGGTTGAGCAAGGTGGGGAGGAAGACAGCACACCTCGGAAGAGCTTTTAATTGTGTGGGTGCCTGGTGGCCTTTTTATTTCCTTGTTGTGTGTTTGATAGTTTATGTGGCCATCTTTTATGGGTTCACTTGTCATCGCTGTGCAGGTCCTGTAGGCTTCGGTGTGGCATGAATTACACCCTACCAGCTCTGTGACTGACAGCAGGATCCCTGCAGCCCCTGGAGGGGTAGGGGTTGGGAGCAGTGGAAGGCTCAGGCTGAAGGTATCCCAGACCTCCCTTATCTCCGGGTGACCTAGGCATCGTGCTGGACATTCTCATAGTCGTTAGCTCCTAACACCTTCCGAGTCGGAATCCTGGGTGGCAGAAGGCCTGCCTCTGCCACTTCAGGCTGTGTGACGTCGAGCATGTTGCTTGTCCTCTAACTGCACTTTCCTTACCTATATGTGTGGTTACTATAGTTGCTCTTAAAACTGAATAATCAGTGAGATTATACATGCAAAGTGTCACTTGATAAAGGCAGCCTGTGTGTCCTCATATGCAAAGTTTAAAAACTGCCCGGCTGGGGATTTAGCTCAGCAGCAAGTGTGAGGTCCTGAGTTCGATCTCCAGTACCCAAAACACTGCTCTAATTCTCTGGCTGTCCCCCACCTCCACCCTAGCATACTTACCTAGCTCCCATGTTAACTTCTATGGCCCCCTTAAGTTTGTGGTACTGAGGATTAAACCCAGGGCCTTCAAACTGAGCTGTATGCCCCAGCCTATTTGTTTGTTTGTTTGTTTGTTTGTTTTTTGTCTTTCGAGACAGGGTATCATTGTAGTCCAGGCTGGCCTTGAACTCACTACGTAGCCTAGGCTGCCTCAGCCTCTTGAGTGCTGAGATTATAGGTATGTGCCATCACGCCCAGCCGATGCCAAGCCCTTAAAGTTTTTGTTTTTGTTTTTGTTTCTTTTTTAATTTTGAGACATGATCTTTTTAAATTGCCAAGTTACCTACCCTTTGTGTAAAATTGTGACCCTCCTGCCTCAGCTCCTGGTCACTTGGCGTACAGAACCTGTTCTGGGGTGAGTCCTTTCCCTCTCTGACCTGCCATTTCCTCTTCTGTCACTGGGATTCAGTGGCTGGGCCTGAGGTCCCACCAGCCCCTGAGCTCTTTCCAGGGTTCTTCGAAGGGCTAGCCTAGGTCCACTTCTGTAGGAAGCCCAAAGTAGGATTGGAGTCCAGGTGAACCTCTGTTGCCCAGTGGCCAGGCTGGCCCCTCCAGTGCATAAGTGACCAGAGCCTCACCTTGCCTCCTCCATGACGCCTGATCCCCTGACACCCTGAGACTTTTCCTCTCCTCTCTCCTTACCCTCGGCAGTGCTCCACAAGCTGCACAGTGCAGAATACCCTTGTGGGTCCACCACAGGAGTGGAGGAGACTGCGGGCTCTCCTGGTTTCCCAGGTTTGGGGAACATTGTGGGCCAGGAGTTGAGTGGCTTTATAAGTCTTGCAACTTGCAGCGGTTTCATGGAGCCTGACCCTGTGGCTTAAAGCCTGTGCCCAAGGTTTGCCCTTGGCTGGGGATGCCAGCTGCAGCCTCCTGGCTGTCATAGAACTGGCAATGCTATTTCCTACGCACAGCACTTCCTGAAGCTAGCAAGGAGACAGCCACCATGCCTGCATCCTTGCAGCTCCTGGCCTGGGTCCTTTTTCTCTAACTGCCCCATCACTGGATGTGGGGTCTCAGACAGGGTCATCCTGCATCTGTGACATGTTTGCAAGGAAGAATAAATGTGCTCAAGCAGATGCAAAATATTTGAAGCTACATAGTTGAGACTATAGTCCACCCCACCCTGTCTCCTGTGGAGGCTGTGAGCTACTCCACCCCTAACTGCACAGGTCTTTAGTAACCTGGCTGCCTAGGTAGCCTGGCACTGGTGTGTACACCCCTGGGTCCTTGTTCCAGTCTCTGGGGGGTCTCAGGAAAGTGCCTTGTCTTCAGCAGAAATCCCTTAGACCTTTCCTAAGCATCCCAGATCCTCATGAACACTGAGGCAGGAGTAAGGTATGCAGGGCAGGGCCCAGATGGAAGCAGTGTTTCAGCACTGGAGGGGAAAGACTAGCAAGACCCCAGGCTATCGCCTGATCACCTGCTACCATGGCAGGGTAGCCCATCTCTGTGATGGGACTTCAGCAAAACTTTTGTTTAAATTAATGAAGGACCCCACAGTTTTTCACCCAGCCAGTACTTCTGGGGGGCTAACCTACAAGTAGACTGTGGGAAAGTCTACCTGCATCCTTGTGCTCCAGAAGGCCTGGGGAGAGCCTCCACCCTGGAAGCCCCTAACCCACGAAGCCATCAGGCTGGGGCCTGCCGGTGCACGGTCCAGCTCCTCAGCTTGCCGCAGTGTGGCCAAGGGTCTCATCTGTAAAATGGGGTCATAGAGGACCCACTTGCCTGGGCCCTTGTAAAGATCAAGGAGGTTACTTCCAGCACCTCACAGAACAGTGTTTAGAATGAGGGAGCTGCTGCTGTTGCAATGGGCAGCAATAGGTGAACCTGGACTTGCATCTGAGGGCTTTGCTAAGCCCTCCTTCTGGCAGCTGCCTTTGGCCTGCATACCCACCTGGGGCACTTTCTTGGGGAGGGGTGGGGGTGTGGCTGCTATGACTTCCAAGGACGCTCTAAGCCTGCCTCCCAGGGGTGCCAGCCAGCCTCACCCATCACCCCAGACAACTTCACTCCTGGTCTCGTCCAGTCACGACACACCGAACTTGTGATGTGTGGGGGTAGGGGTGGAAGTGGGGATTCTTTTAAAACCTAAAGTTAATTATTTTTCTAATTTCATGCTGCATGCATTATGCATCAGCTGTTATCGCTGGCAGTAATGGTAATTGCAGACAGGTATGCAAATCCACTAAAAATGCACAGCGAGTTCACCTAACTGTGTGGGCCGGCGGGGCGGTGCCAGTGCCAGGCAGTGGGATGTCCTGAGCTTCAGAGACTGCAAATCGCTTTAGAAAATAAAACTTCAAAATTGTGTCTTAGGAGGTTAATTATATTGATAACAGTGTTCGATATTAAACTATGTGGGCCTGGGAAGGGATAGAGGGACGAAAGGAGATGTGTAATTTTGTTTCTCTCTCTCTCAGCATTATTTAATAAGACGTTCTTCTATCTGATGTTTCTGCCTATGTCCGTTGGTAGTAAAACTGCCTAGAATGAGACTTAATTTCTTTGGGGAAGCAAAAAACAAAGCCCTGTGGAATTTCAGAGGGGAGAAGAGGGGCCTAAAGGCTTTTTTTTTTTTTTTTTAACCCAGGAGCAGGAAGAGGGAAGGCAGTGGCAACAGAGCTAGTGACAATCCCCAAAATTAGGGCTGGGCCATGGTGTCTGTGCTACCAGACTCCTCAGTTACCAGCAGGATCCTGGGCCACAGCAAGGAGCCCCAGGAGAAGAGCAGGATGCACAGTGGCTGCTGAAGACTAATGCAGTACTGATCCTAAACAAAAGGCTGGCACCTGCCGGAAGCAGTCTCTCCAGGGCTGTGAGCGTCTGTAACAGGTGGGAGGCAGGCTCCAACTGGGACCCCTACTTATCAGCACTTTGCTGGTCACCAGCTGATTGTGTGGCTCCTCCCACTAGGAAGTAAACTCCTGCAGTCAGGTGATAGCATGTGTGTGCCTAGCATGAATCCTTGCCAGCAGGGGCTGGGTCGGCGTTGGCTGAATGAATGAAGGAGGCCCCAGAACCTGAGACCCAGAGCCTGGAAGCTCATCCTGACTGGATGCCTTGGCCATAACTGCCTGAAGAGGCAGGCAACTGGTCTGAATCGTGTCACAGGTGGTAAGAGTCGGGCACTCACTGTTGATGCTTCTCTCCCAGTTGCCCCCGAGATCCCCAGCCCAGGAAAGAGCCCTGCTCACCTGGGTATGGGCAGTGGCCTGGCACTGCCCAGGTAGACGTCAGTTTCCAAGCATCTGACCCTCACTCCTTCCTGCCCACTCCTCGTGTATACACGGTGGAGTCTACCCTGCGGGACCCTAGATTGGCTTTGGAGATGGTCTGCGTTTTATAGATGAGGGCCCAATGTGCAGGGAGGGACAGGCCTGGCAGAGAGACAGCCCTCCCTGGCCCATTTCCTTTGGCCTTGGCACTGAATTCTCAAGCCCTTTCCAGGGCCTTGGTGGGAGAGTGATGGTGGGCAGTGTCCCAACTCAAGCAGGGCTTCGTGCTGGCTGCTTTCTGCCACCAGTAGTCCACAGACCCTCTTTCCCCTGTGGGCTCAGGCCTGTTAGCATTAGCAGTACCTGGCAGCATCCCCTTCCAGCTGGCCACAGCCCTTCAGGGCCTGCATCCCCAGTGCCAGAGGAGAGGCACTCAGAGAAGGGAAGGAGCCACCTGAGCCACACACCCTGGACCCACAGATATGTCTGGCCCCCAAAGCCCAGTTGGTTTCCTTCTGCTTTTCTGCCTTTGGGGTTCAGGGAAGCCTCAAAGCCTGCAAGCAGATTCCCCATCAGGTCTGGCAGCTGCTCCCCTCTGCAATTACCCCCACCCTTCCTTGGGGCTAGAAGGAGGGGGACAAGTGCTGGGTAGCCAGGCAGGGATGCTAAGAGGAGGAGGAAGGAGGATGGCACGGCAGGGGCCGAGCTGGGCTCAGCGCCTTGCAGCCCGCTGCCTGCCGGCTGGCACGCCTTTATAATAAATAACAGCAAATAGCCCATCCGCAGGGCATCTTTCATGCCGGTGGCTAATAACACGGCTATTAATGCCCCCTCAGACGGCGTGCGCGCTGTGCCGTGCTGACGGATGTCCCGGCCCTGGCGCAGTCATAAATCAGCCCCTCTCATGGGGCAGAGTGTGAGGGAAGTGTCATTTTCCATCTTGGTAATGAATTGGGGCTTCCCTGCCCTACTCAGAGCACTGCTGGCTGCTTACTGCTTGGGGTTGCCTGGGATTTGTGTTTATGGACACTTCGTGGCCCCCCGCCCCACCTGGAGAGTGCACTCAGCCTCTGTGCAACTATGGGGCACTCACTGCCCTCTCTGGGCGCCATCTGGAAGGTGGAGCAGATGAACAAAGGCCTACGAGAAGCAGGCTGAAAGCTTGAGATCACCCCACCCTGGGTCTGCCTGGGAGAGTAGGGACAGGCTGGGATGGAAAGGACTTGTGGGCTCCCTCCAGTTCAAGAGCAAACAGTGCCAAGGCCAGGAGCCCAGCTTCCCCAGAGCAGCTGCCCAGACTCACAGTGAGGCCTCACTTCTACCCCCATTGGGCAGAACTGGTAGCCCAGCAATCTAGGCAGAGAGATGCCGAGAGGAGAGATCCCCACTTGCAGTTAAGTCCAGGAGGCCAGTTCCTTGTGCTCCAGTGGCTGCCTACCCTTCGTGGGGCCAGCAGCATGGGGCTGCCGGGCAGCAAATGAGGCTGACCCTGGGCCAGTGACCGGCATGCTTTGTGAAATTGCATAGGTGCGATTCTCTGAAATGGTCCTGTGGGACCCAGCCTGGAAAAGAGCCTTCAGAAAATGAGACCCAATGAGGAATGTAACTGTACTGTATACCTAAAAAGTACCAATAAACTCAATGAAAAAAAAAAAAAAAAGAAAAGAAAAGAAAATGAAACCCAGCCATCTTTCCCGCTTGGCTGAGAGCCTCCCCCCACGGCAGTGCCCCTCAGCCTTACCTCCTTGCTGCCACAGCCCTTGGACTTCAGGGTCCTACCAGAGTGGCTGCTCCCCAGGTCCTTGCTGATGTTGAGGGACACAGTAGGCCCAGGCCACACTCACATTCCTGGCCCTGTGGCCCTAACAGGCCAAGGGCTGTGAGAGCAGAGTGCACATCTAGGTACACTGGCAGTGTGAGGGACACTGGAGGCTTGCGGAGGGGATCCTGTGCTTCTCTCTTCTGGACTCACCCGTTTAGGTGAGGCTGAAGGTCCCAGGTAGCATCCTTGGCTCCCTAGGCCACCTCAGGTGAGGGCCTATGCTCTGGGTGCACAGGGATACCCTGTGCGGCCCCTGGGGCTTGGGAGTGGGACAGGAGGGTCTTCTGGCCCCTTCTCCTGGGGCATGCCCCACACCTCCCCAGGGGGTGGCCTCTCCCTGCTTGCCACTTCCTCCGTCCTCTTTTAACTTTTGCCCTTTGTCTGCAGGCCGCCACCTCCTCTGAAAGGCCGTTGTGTGCCTTTTTCTTTACCAAGGTTTTTTTCTTCTTTTTTTTTTAAATCCCTTTAAGACACTTGGCAGAATGGGCTCGGTGCAGAGAGCATTCTTGCGTGACAGAGCTGAGAGGGAGCCACTCTCCAAAGAATCGGTATTCCTGCCAGTCAGGCTGTGTCTCCAGGGGAAGGAGAGAGTCCATTACCCCGCTGAGGAGTTCAGATGTTCACCGAGGAGCTGTCAGGCCCCACACGCCCTGCTTCGGGAAGATGCTTTGGCGGGCAGGGGCTCAGTCCCGCATGGCTGCTCCCGTTTGCAAAGAAGGTTTTCTTGCTGGGAGGCAGGAGGGGGTTATTCCTGCTTCACCTCTGGTCCCCTCTGCAAAGAGACAGCCTCTTCTCCCCCACTCTCTGCCTCCTCACCTGCCAAAGACAATACAGATGATCACACCCAACAAAATTGAGGCCCACACGGACATGAGCACTGTCAGGGCTGCCTGGCTGGAGATGGAACCCAGGCCCTCACACATCCAAGCGACATCCCAACCCCAGAGCCTGTTTTCTTAAATGCCACTTTCCTGTGAGCCCAGGACAGGGCTTAGATTATTGTCTCCCATCTCCTGTCTCCTCAGACCCAGATACCGAGCAGCTGCTCATAGGAGGGGCCCTTCCTTGCAACTACCTGGCTTCCTTTTCTCCCTGATAATGGAAGGCTGGGAAGAGAAAGATGAAATTTTGAAGCTCCCAGCTCTGCAGGCCACCAGCCCAGCCCAACATTGGCTCGGTTCCCCCCAGCACCTGCTCTTCTGATAAATGTCATTCACAGGCTCCAACTGGGCCATCATAGCCTGGGCCTTCAGAACAAGCACTGCTTTTCCAACCACGGGAAATAGGATCATCAGGGCCCCAGGAAGTCAGGTCTTCATGTCCCTGGCTTCCCTCTGCAGCCACCCGGTCTCTTAGGCAGGGTAGATTCTCCCCACCCGCTGAGCCCTCCTGGTCTGCAGAGACCTGGGGGTGGGGCAGGCTCTTCCCAGGAATCCTAAACAAAACCATGCCCTCCCCATATAGCTCTCATTAGAGGTGCTTCGTAGAAGGCCCGTGCCCTGGTGTCCGCATCCCCCTGCAGGAGCCCCTCTTTGCAAAAGGGCTTTCATTACACATCTGAGAGGGCAGGCTCTAGTTTGAAATCAGATCTAGATGGGCTCAGCTGCATCTGGGCACTTTTCTTTGTAGGGCCGAAGGTGGCTGATTTGAGAAATGCTTACTGTCTGGGACTGTTACAAATGAAAACAAGGACATCGAGGGTGCATGATTAATAAGCCCAGCACCCAAGCTGGGGGTGGCTGCCCATGGGCTCACAGCTGGCAGGACTTACATGGAGGAAGGGAGAGTGTGTCGCCAGGGGGCTGCAGGGTGGAGAGGGTGAATCAGGGAGGTCCGAGGGCCCGCAAGCCTGTGTCCCATCAGTCCTGATTGGCCAGGGCCTGGTCAGTGCTGCAGCTGCAGGTGCCAGCAGGCTGGTGGGCACGGCCCCTAGAGAGGCCGAGGAGGGAGCTAGACGGAGGAAAGTCGAGGACAGTCTTGCATGAGGGGGAAGCAGCAAGCTCCAGCACGAGCCCTTATTGCTATTACCACCCGCGCGATTTCATCCAATTATAAATTGTAATTTCTCTATGAAAGCGAGAGATGGAAAGAGTCCAATGAGGTCATCTGCCTCCCTGGCCAGGGTGAGGAAATTGTTTCATACTGCTGGGGACGGGGTGGGGGCGCAGCTGGGCCTCCGAATAGAGGCTGGTGACCATGTCCTGGGAGCCTGGAATTCCAGCTGCCTCCCCACAGCACCTGCAAACTGCCCAAGTGCCGCTTCTGGAATCATGCACCCAGGAAGAAGGCAAGTCCGTGCCGGTGGCCCTCCCACAGCATGCAGGACAGAGGCAGTGTGGTTCGGTGTCTCAAAGGCCCATGAGGCCTGGCCCCTGCTTCCTCATCAGGCTTCTGCCAAGCCCTTCCCTGTGCTGTTCCCTCCTGGGAGATCATCTCAAATGTCACCCTTCCTTCCCTGCACCCGGGCAGCACGATCCCACAAACCCCAATGGCAGTGACACAATGTGAAGGAACGAATGCTTTTCCTGGCTTGAAGGAAGTCTCTGAGGCTGGACCCTCCTGCACCTGGCTCAGTGCCATGCACACAGTAGGTACTTAATAAATGCACGCAGTGACCTCACTGTTTTCTCATTTGGAAAACCAAAGGTCTGAACAAGGCTTCTGGTGGGTCTGTCCAGCTTTGTACATCCTTTGTCCTGCCCTAGGTCTTTCGGTCTCCTGGACAGAGTGCCGTGCCAATGCTGGGCCCCTGGGGTGTCCCTGCGCTGGATAGGAGTGGCCTCATGGGCGTCAGGGGTGGGTACTGGCTTTCCAAGTGAGCCCGGCTGGCGGTGGTTGGGAGTGTGTGCTCTGGGCAGCACTGTGGCTCTTCATGCGTGAGGGTGCATAATGATGATCATTAGTAGCCACCTGCATTCACTGAACCAAACGTGGCCCAGGAATAAATATGGAAGTAGTGGGCCTGCCTGGCACCTACCTACAACCAGAGCCCAGCGCCTGAAGCAGACTCACTACTAGACAGTGGAGCCCACAGCATGCAAAATTAGTGCTTAGCCAAAGACAGGGACTCTAGGGTCCCTAGGGATCCGTCACAAGGGCCCTTGTTAGCCCCTGAAGGGCACCTGCTCCAAGCACGCCTGCTGTGCATTTGCTCACTCATCCTGCTATGCTGAGCTCCTTGCCCAGACCTGCCGTGTCCCCCAGCCTCCAGGTCTGGTCTCTGCACCAAAGAATCATTTTTGGTGTCTATATAGTAAAAGCTTTACTTTGTCAGTGCTTTGAGATGCTTGCATTATTTTATTTATTTATTTTTAACATCACAAATCCAGTAAAAGAAATTTGAAAAGGAAGAAAAAGCAAAGCACCCAACCACGCTGTTCTGCCCATACACATCTGCTGTCCACCCAGGAGCCATGCACCTTATCCTTTTCCTGAATTGCCACTTTGCCATTTTCCCTGAGTCTGGCACAGCCCAATACAGCTGGCAGAGTATAGAGGACCACCCCACTTTGCAGTTTGAGAAGGTGGGGAACGACTTGTCTAAGGTCATAGAACCTGTAGGATAGCCAGGGCCTCAAATTCCAGGCCAATTCCCTTCTCCCTGCACCACACCAAGACCCCATGCAACAGAAATGTGCCACTAAGCCAGCAGGCATGGTGGCAAACACCTATAATCCTAGCACTCGGGAGGCTGAGGCAGGAGGATCACCATGAGTTGGAGGCCAGCCTGGGCTACATTGTGAGTTGAAGATCAGCCTGAACTACACAGCAAGACCCTGACTCAAAAAAAGAAAAGAGAAATGCACCACTTAAACACTGAAGCAAGAGCCCTGTGTTTCTCCTAATGTCTTCTCATGAATCCCTCTCTCTGCCTTCCATTTCTCCATCCATCCATTCATCCTTCTCTCCCTCTCTCAATATCTCCCCGTCAGTCTCTCCACCCACCTCTTCTGTCCCTCCATCCCCCTGTCTCTCAACCCATTCCTCCATTCAGCCAGCCAGCCATTCAACTTCTACCCCGCAAACATACTCTGAGTCTCATCACGCTCTAGAACTGGACAGGACTTTGGGGGTACAAAAAGGACCCCTCACCAAGATACAGAGGGTGGGGGGGAAGGGAGGGAGGGAAAGGAGATGAAGAATTAAAATGTGTTATGTATGTGAACCAACTCCTCACAACGCATGTAATCACCGTGTATCACAAATATGTACTAACCCCACATCCTCTGAGAAGTCACAGCCTTATGGGGAGGCCACTGGTGAGGCCTCAGCACGGGGCACTATGGAGTGAAGGGCCTGCCTTGCCCACCTCGGTAGAGGGGTGGATCCCACGGCCTTCCTGGGCAGGTAGGTGCTGTGCTGTGGTTCTGGGGTCCTTTAAACCCGTGACAGTCATATATACCCCCAGTGTTAATTCAGAGTGGGCCAGGTACGGCTCGGTTCCCCCTTGACCTGTCTCCCAGAGCCACTGCCCACCCTTGGCTCTCAGTCGCTCATCCCACCCTAAGTTGAACCAGTCGTTAGCTTTACAGTTCTTGGATACTTAGAGAATGGTGCCTGCGGGTATTAATTCCTATATTAGCAATTAGCCTTCCTGTTTCATTCCAACGTATGGTTCTCAGGGATAAGTTTTATGTGCATGTCATTAATCAGATGCCTGGTGCGTGCTCCTGGAAATCCAGGTGGCTTTATGGCTGGTGACTTTGCTGGGTGGCATTTGAAATGAACATGCCCCCTCCCTGGGCAGTGCTGCCCTGTGGCAAAGAGGGAAGAGTTTGAATCATTGCAAGCAGGTCACAGCAGTGTGAGCTGGGGACTGGGGTTTGTTTTCATTTCAGACTTCCAGGCTGAGGTCAGCTGCAGAATCTGACCTTTACAGATGAAAGGCTCTGTGATCAACGTCCAAGTCTGTTCCGTGGTTGCTGACTCCCCCCACCGCATGGCCAGCCAAAAGGCCTGTTCTCTCTGTCCTGTCACCGGGGAGGTCACTCCTCTCTCCTACCAGTGCAGACCTCAGGGCTCCCAGAGTCACTTCCCCTCCCTCTCCCCCATGGCCAGCAGAGGTGAGATCTGGGAGCCACAGGGCAGGGCAGGGATTCCCACTTGGAGGCTCCTTGAACAAGGTCAGCAGGGTCAGGAATAGGGAGGGAGACACAAGTGCTAAGTCTCAGGATGGAGGGCTTGTGCAGCAAGCTCTGAGTTAGTAGGCCCAGTGATGGGAGCTACAGTAGGGGATAAGAGCTTGGCCTCAGGGAGCTCGGAATGCGGTGCTGAGGGGCCTGGCCTTCATGCCAAAGGCAGCAGGAGCCAGCAAGGGGAACAGGTAGGGAGGAGCAGACATATCACTCTGTTGCGTGGAGAACTGGTCTTCGGGTGCAAGGAGGGGACAGAGAGGCTGGGATAGTGTCTTAGGGAGCAGGGCCTGGACTGGGCATGGTGAGCACAGAAAGGGCTGACTCGGGAGGCCCCCCAGGTGCTGCTCCC